TTCAGACAAGTCACATCAAAAATATTCAAAATATTGGAATATTTTTCAAAAATTGACTTTCTTTTACCTTTTTCTACAAAATGGTCCATTTTTGACACTTTGTATGCCTCAAAATGCTAATATTTCCCTATTTCTGGGAAAGTCTGAGATGAAAAGCATTTATTTCTAGAAACCTTGGCCGGTATACAGGAAGACAAGCTGCAAATTTGTTGCATTGAAGGTAACTGTAAGGAACTATAGTGAAACCTGTAAGCCCACCCCCTAAAAACGTTGGTGTGGTAACAAATCCCACTTGTGTCCACATAAGTAATACTGTTGATGGAATATGGCTAAAAGCCATGTTCTTCTATCCCTGGCTTATATACATACATATAAACACAGTTTGTTATAAGAAGTATGAATTATTTATTAAAATATGGATTGATAAATGTAAAATAAATGCTGTAATTAGGTGACAACCAGCCACTCTAATAAAAGGGTCGCAAAGCACTATTTTTTTTTTAAAAAATGGGAATATTTCAGTTTTTAAAATACTTTAACAATCAGAGGTATCCTTGAAATTACATAGTGTAAATATTATGTGGAAGCAAGTTGTTTTAATCTTTACATCAATGTCCTGACAAAATGAGATGGAAAAAGGGAGTTCTGACATAATTCAAAGCATAAAAGGGGTATGAAAAGACTATTAATTAATATTTTATTGCCCTGTAAGCGCCACATTTTCAAAGATCACCACAAATAATAGATTTACATTCAAAATGTAAAACATTAAGCTGCAAAAAACACATCTACAACATATCCATTTTGGGGTGTGGACTCATTTGGAAGAAATGTCATAGGATTACATGTTTGACCATAAACAAAAAGTCTTAGAAATCCTTGAAATCTTATATGTAACTATTTGTTTGTGTCAAATAAAATGCTCGGTTACAATTCAAGCACAAAATCAGATTACTGCTAATTTGGAGTCAACAAATGTTCAATTGAATATCCAAATATCATCTTCAAGAAAAGGGGTGGGGTGGGGAGGGTGAGCCAGTCTAAATGAAATGAAGACAGAGAAATTTCCCTGCAAACACATAGAGTTTACTTTCTCGAGAAGGGAAATGCAACAATTTCAGGTTTTGAAAGATTAAAATTGTGTTAAGCCTGAGGAAAACAGCAGCAAAATGCAGTTCACTCATGTTTTGAAAATTCTAACACACCTAAGCAGAACATAATTAGACTAAATTTCTTAATTTTTAAATTTTTGACAAACACATGAATACTTTTTCAATATCTGACAAACACATGGATCCTTGCCAAGTTATTTAACAATGAAAATAAAGACATGCAAGACATTTTGGTTCATTTTACAACAGATGAATAATTAAAATTTTGACAGCAATATTGGGGGTAATCTGAAGAATTTCAGACAATTTATCATGATTTTTAGGCAAAATTGAGTGAAATTATGATACTTTCTTCCCGTCTAAAAATTATAATGCAGAAAAAGTAAAAATCATACATTAAAATATTTTCCACTAATTTTGAAAAGTAAATAAACACTGAAAATCACAAAATTTTGACTAAAATCAAAATTTCCCCTCCCAAATTTGTCAAATATTTTTGAAATTTTACCATTTCACATTTTTTACTATCAAAATGCCATATATCACATTTTCTGACAATTTGGAGATCATATCATCAAATTTAGGCCTTTCATCCACTGTCAGGTTGTTTTCATATAGGAGGCAGACCACCATTAATTCCCCATTGACTTCAATGTTAATTCTGGCCTCTTTGCCCACCTCCAACTTTTCCCCAAATTTTCGTTGGGCTGAATGCTTTCCACTACAGACAGATGAACAAATGGTCATGTCTTTGCACTAAAATTTGTATGAGGTTGACCACCAAAATTTTGAGATACACAAACTTGAAGAAGCATACTAAAAACATGTAACTAGTTTCCGTACATATCGCCGTAGCTAACCTGATAACCCTCTTATCCTTCTGCCTCAAAATCATGAATATTTACCAAAACCTGGCAGAAAATGTTAATTCAAACCCTCTTCATCCATTCTAGACCAAAAAATCAACACAAATGGGCATGCAAAAGGGGAGAAAAGAGAGAGAGAGAGAATTGCTATAAATAGACGAACTACAATTCGTGGGTACCGAGATGATGAAATTTAATGGTGGTCTGCCTCCTATATGGTTTTATAAGTTCATATATCATCAAAATTCTTTTCTTTATAGCTTCACATTTATTTTTGCAACATTATTATAATACAGAATCAGAAAAAAATAATTACTGCAGAAATGGTGACCCTTTAAAGTTATGTAGTGTTTTGTATACCGGATTGCAGCTCAGGTCCATGGGCCTTTTGTTCTAGAATTGAAGATTCTTTCTTAATTTTATCGAAATGTGAGTTCTGTGAAAAGATTTAAAGAGTTTCAGACAAGTCACATCAAAAATATTCAAAATATTGGAATATTTTTCAAAAATTGACTTTCTTTTACCTTTTTCTACAAAATGGTCCATTTTTGACACTTTGTATGCCTCAAAATGCTAATATTTCCCTATTTCTGGGAAAGTCTGAGATGAAAAGCATTTATTTCTAGAAACCTTGGCCGGTATACAGGAAGACAAGCTGCAAATTTGTTGCATTGAAGGTAACTGTAAGGAACTATAGTGAAACCTGTAAGCCCACCCCCTAAAAACGTTGGTGTGGTAACAAATCCCACTTGTGTCCACATAAGTAATACTGTTGATGGAATATGGCTAAAAGCCATGTTCTTCTATCCCTGGCTTATATACATACATATAAACACAGTTTGTTATAAGAAGTATGAATTATTTATTAAAATATGGATTGATAAATGTAAAATAAATGCTGTATTTAGGTGACAACCAGCCACTCTAATAAAAGGGTCGCAAAGCACTATTTTTTTTTTAAAAAATGGGAATATTTCAGTTTTTAAAATACTTTAACAATCAGAGGTATCCTTGAAATTACATAGTGTAAATATTATGTGGAAGCAAGTTGTTTTAATCTTTACATCAATGTCCTGACAAAATGAGATGGAAAAAGGGAGTTCTGACATAATTCAAAGCATAAAAGGGGTATGAAAAGACTATTAATTAATATTTTATTGCCCTGTAAGCGCCACATTTTCAAAGATCACCACAAATAATAGATTTACATTCAAAATGTAAAACATTAAGCTGCAAAAAACACATCTACAACATATCCATTTTGGGGTGTGGACTCATTTGGAAGAAATGTCATAGGATTACATGTTTGACCATAAACAAAAAGTCTTAGAAATCCTTGAAATCTTATATGTAACTATTTGTTTGTGTCAAATAAAATGCTCGGTTACAATTCAAGCACAAAATCAGATTACTGCTAATTTGGAGTCAACAAATGTTCAATTGAATATCCAAATATCATCTTCAAGAAAAGGGGTGGGGTGGGGAGGGTGAGCCAGTCTAAATGAAATGAAGACAGAGAAATTTCCCTGCAAACACATAGAGTTTACTTTCTCGAGAAGGGAAATGCAACAATTTCAGGTTTTGAAAGATTAAAATTGTGTTAAGCCTGAGGAAAACAGCAGCAAAATGCAGTTCACTCATGTTTTGAAAATTCTAACACACCTAAGCAGAACATAATTAGACTAAATTTCTTAATTTTTAAATTTTTGACAAACACATGAATACTTTTTCAATATCTGACAAACACATGGATCCTTGCCAAGTTATTTAACAATGAAAATAAAGACATGCAAGACATTTTGGTTCATTTTACAACAGATGAATAATTAAAATTTTGACAGCAATATTGGGGGTAATCTGAAGAATTTCAGACAATTTATCATGATTTTTAGGCAAAATTGAGTGAAATTATGATACTTTCTTCCCGTCTAAAAATTATAATGCAGAAAAAGTAAAAATCATACATTAAAATATTTTCCACTAATTTTGAAAAGTAAATAAACACTGAAAATCACAAAATTTTGACTAAAATCAAAATTTCCCCTCCCAAATTTGTCAAATATTTTTGAAATTTTACCATTTCACATTTTTTACTATCAAAATGCCATATATCACATTTTCTGACAATTTGGAGATCATATCATCAAATTTAGGCCTTTCATCCACTGTCAGGTTGTTTTCATATAGGAGGCAGACCACCATTAATTCCCCATTGACTTCAATGTTAATTCTGGCCTCTTTGCCCACCTCCAACTTTTCCCCAAATTTTCGTTGGGCTGAATGCTTTCCACTACAGACAGATGAACAAATGGTCATGTCTTTGCACTAAAATTTGTATGAGGTTGACCACCAAAATTTTGAGATACACAAACTTGAAGAAGCATACTAAAAACATGTAACTAGTTTCCGTACATATCGCCGTAGCTAACCTGATAACCCTCTTATCCTTCTGCCTCAAAATCATGAATATTTACCAAAACCTGGCAGAAAATGTTAATTCAAACCCTCTTCATCCATTCTAGACCAAAAAATCAACACAAATGGGCATGCAAAAGGGGAGAAAAGAGAGAGAGAGAGAGAGAGAATTGCTATAAATAGACGAACTACAATTCGTGGGTACCAAGATGATGAAATTTAATGGTGGTCTGCCTCCTGACTCCTTTATTAGGGTTGTCTTTCTTGCTTTTATCTTCCATTTATTTACGTTTTTGTTGTCTCAGAGATGGACTATTATTTTAAAAAAAAGTTGAAAATCGTAAAGTTTAGGAAATGTTAATCATATAATGATGAAAAAAAAATAAGAGCATATGATAATAAAAATGTGTTTGAAATTGAAGGCTCTATAATTAGCCTATAATTAAGGTATCAGTATGGAACGGATCGTAATCGTACGGTATGTATTCACTACGGTCAGACTGATATTTAGGAACGTAAAGTTATCAGTCTGGAACGATCGTAATCGTGCGGTATTCACTAAGGTCATACTGATATTTAGGAACGTAAAGAAGACCATTTTACTAACCGTCTCCATTTTAAGAAAGAGCAGATATAAATATATGATAATATCGACAGAATCTCCACACGAATCTTTAATTTAGTAGAAGAAGAGCAAGTTGATCATTGTCGCCATATTTGACCTATTTCTCTATTGGTTGTATATGCATTAAGGCGTGGATCTAACCAACCCGAGTAGCTCATTATTGAGCCGAGAGATTTATGAAATGAAATTGGGGTTTAATGACCCGCATTCCTTCACTATTCAGGCTAATGAACACTAGTCATTGTCGAGACTAATGATTTTTATCGCCGCTGTTGATCAATATATATATTAAATAATAGCCCGAATTCAAGTATACCAAAAGTTAAAGAAATATAACCAGTTTTTGAGCCATTCAGATATGACTGCCAAAATTGTAATCAGCGCGCATGTTTTTTTAGGCTAAAGTCTAACCATAAAACTTAGTGTCCATACATAATAAATATTTTATTCCATTAATCAATTCCATTCCGCCATTGGTTTGTCTTAAACTCGTCATTTGTGTTCATGGGCATCAGGGTCGAGATGGCAACGTTATATGTTTTATTCGTCTAATTTACTATAAAACATCATTCGGTTTGCCTCACGGGTTAACGGCATATTAATAGCTTTATTCACTGAGATGGTTCCTTTACTTATAGTTTATTTTTCGAATTGCTTTTTGTATTTTTTTAAATGGAAATATTTAGCACCTTCTTGTTAAACCGTTGAAAGATTTAAAGTTTGGATTAATGTTAAGAGAGTGTGGGTCAAAGATGCCGCTGGCAGAGTGTGTATAGGGTGTTAAAGTTTAAAAGTTATTCCCTACAAGGTGGTTCTACGGTTCTTACCATAGAATTCAGCTGTGAAATAACACAGTTTCTTTCATTATGTGTACAACAATAAAACTAGTTCAATTGCAAGTTGTCTAAACCACGGTGCTGTGATGTATGCATCTAAATGTTTCGACGACCCACCAATCAGTAGTTGCATGATGATTAAATTTATCGGACATGGAATGTGAAAATGCTTTGGAACTTTCAACTGTAACACGTTGCAATAATTACTCAATATAAGCCAAAAGGATCCGCCTTGTTCATTTATAGTCCGGCCCTGTCTTCAGTATTAAAATATAAAATTGAACACAAAGTATATTTAGTAATCCGTATTGTAGTAATGGCAATCACGGCTTGTGTTTTTTTTGTTTTGTTTTTTGTTGTTTGTTTTTTTTTGCAAAATATAAAATAATTACGATGTCGTTTAACACTCACAATAACAAATTTGGTTACCGGCCATTCAGCCATTCAGGTCGTACATGTGTCAAGTATACAGTCATATATACAAACGCCTAACTATAGAAGCCTACCATTCTTAATTTCTACTTTTCGCCCTCCAAAACACGAAAGTCGAAAAGTAGCAGTTACGACAAAATGTGAGGCGACAGCAACGCTATACAAGCCAAAATCGACTCGAAAATAGGAAATCAAGAAATAATACACTGCGATAATAGCGCCCCTCGTTTTTTTTCCTAATTTCTTATTTTCGACTTGCATTTTGGCTTGTATACCGTCTTGTTGACTTTCGACTTAGTCATATTTTTGTATTTATTGATGTCAGTAAGATGTTACTATGGAGAACGTAAATTTCAGATTATACATTCCAGACTTCGTAATTGTAAAAGTGCTCTAAACTTCCATAGATTTTTAATGCATATTTCACATAACCCGACATGCAGTTGTGGTCATACTCAAGAAGACAGCGACCATTATTTTCTGCACTGCCCAAATTATTCGTCTCAGCGTATCTCAACATTAAATACCCTCCCATTTAAATCCATAAATACAAAAGCGTTCCTATATGGCGATACCAACGAAAGTAACCCGTTCAACAAAGTGAGTTTTAGTAAAGTTCACAAGTATTTAAAACTAAACAAGCGTTTGAATAGATAAGGTAATTGTCAGGCGACGATGATTGGTGTTAAATAGTGATGATGACGATGATGATGACCATGAAGATGATTTATTTATATATTTATTTATATACTAGAAGAATGCCCGGCTTCGCTCGGGGGGTCATAACTCCGAAACCGGAAGTGGTAGACTAACGCCACCTGGCCTATGTTACTCCCCGGTCCGAGCTACCCCTATACCCCAAATTTCAGACTCGGAAATGACAACGTGAATGATGGATCAGTCGAACGACAGAGTGAATGACAGGAGTTTTCCAGTCGAATAATAAAGATAATGGCAACTCTGGTCATAGCATATCTGTTTATAATATATTTCATATAAATGTTTATACACGTATTTGAAAAATACATTTAGGTCTACGTGTAATGTTGAATGTATAAATTCGGAAATGTTTTGATCTCTTGAACTGTATTATTTAAAATACACGATTAACGTATTAAATTGTAAATAATGAATCAAGCCAAGACATGTATAAAATGTATTAAATGTTTTATTGAATTGGAATAGAAACTGAAAACAGATTAACACCCTGTGTGAGATATTTCATTCAAATATTGTGAAAGGGTTGGTAATAAAATTAAAATTGTCATTGTGTCATTTTAATAACATTGAAGCGTCCTATTCTGTTACGTAGTCGTCTCAACATATTGTTGTCATGGGTTACTTCTGCTAAACAACTCAATAGAAACGAGTAAAGTATTATAAACGAAATTATGTCTAAAGAGTTCTTCATGACATGTATTGACAATACTTTTCTGGTTAGATTTTAGCCTAAACACGACATGTGTGTTGGTGACAATTTTGGCAGTCATATCTGAATGACTCAAAAACTGTTTATATTTCTTTAACTTTTGGTATACCTAAATTCGGCCTATTATTTATGGTAGAAAGATATAATAAAATGACCTAAAGCTTTAAAACATATTTTTAAATATGTTGAGGCACCCTAAATTGAATTTGAAGCACCAGGGATGAATAAATAAAAATAGCTATAATGCATGATTTTATTGTAACTAGTGAACTGATAAATATTGTACAATTTATCTAAAGAGTACATTTATGAAAACGTGGTACTTTTCTGATATCTAGTTAAATTAACACTTACCCAGATCTTGGCATAAGCATGACTTAAAATGATCACGGCTAAAACACTTCCGTGCGAATCAAGAATTCTTTATGTAAGAATAGAGCTTTATAAGACCGTAAATGCACCACACATTCTGTCTCCATAAGATGGTAGCTATAATCTTTCAATCCAATCCCCTAATTAAGTATACCCCCACCCAATCATAAAAAAATAATAACATAGCAAAACGGTGTTTAATTCTGATCATCTAAATTATCAAACGATATTCGCCGAAGTAGTAACTGAGAAGGGCGTGTTTTAAGATATACATAATGTATCTTACTATTTTTCGCTTATATAATTTGATTTTCAAATACAAACCATTAATACTTATCTTAGCATTAAAACAATCAACCATTTGTGGTTATATTGAAATCTGTAAAAGACGCATTCTTTTTGAATATATTTTTAAAAAATAATAAATGGAAAAAAACATATTATTAACGCCTTTTCAACAAGCAATTGTTATACTCTTAGTGATTTGTAGAGCGTCAAATCACAATGTTATTGTACTGTTTTAAATTGTAGATTTTATTCATTCATGTAAAACATTTATTACAATTTTATAAAAAAATGTATAAAACACTGAGTTCGAGATTCAAATCACAAATCCATCCAAGCTAGGATACTGCAAATCCGAATATTTTTGTTTATAAAATATTTACATTCCATTCAATAAATATTCCAGTCATCTAGTTTTGGATTTGGGGAAATTCATCCTTCTTTTCCCATATATACATATTGCCGTATTATTTAATAATCAAACCAAACAGCATGTAATCAGAGAACGCTTGTATCCGCCATATGTAATATTGTCACGTGACATTGTTATGTTTTGTTTCGCTCGGGAAGAGTTTATTATACATAATAGAACTCCAGTGTAGTAAGCCATAACTATGAACAATATCATGTCCCAAATAAATAATCTAATTTGTAGATCTGCAATTGGTCACATGATGGTCCGAACATTATTTGTATGGCTCTATTTGTTGACAGCAAATACCGCTAATAATTATCTTGGATAAAATACCTCGTTTAGTAAACGAGGCAATTTTACCCAGCCTCGTTCTGAATAAAATACCTCGTTCCAAAAACAGGGCAATTTAAAAAAAAACACGTTTTAGAACTCCAGAGAAACGAGGTATTTTTTTTACCTCGTTACAACGAGGCAAAATCGGGGCAAACATTTTGACACGTTTTTGCCTCGTTTGGACAGAAATGCCGAACGAGGCATTCTGAGGTTTATAGTGATACACCACTACGGGTTCTTCGTCGCAGAAGACACTAACGTCGGCATCGTCTGAGATGGAGGACTACATAACCGGAACTGGCACATCGTATCGGGTTTCGGCTGTAAACGATTCTTCTACTTCCATAGGTTCAGTTGTTGGGACCTCCATAACTTCTTCTTGTTGTTCGTCCATATCTTCCGTCTGCTTATTAGATTTAAGGTTGTTTTTTTAAACATAAATTAGATTACAATTCAACTAACACAAAAGTGTAAAAAGATTTTTTTCTAGTCTGTGCCCGCGTTTATGTCTACTCTTGGCAAAATCGTTATAATATATTACTATTCAAAAAAAGTAGGGGATATTTGATTTTTAAGTGTTATTAAAGTCACCTAATGAAACTGACGAAGAAACAAATGACAAAATGAAATGAAGTTCACATTCATCGATTTATTCCAAATAATCGTTAGACTAAGTAAGGCACAGACTGACCATTATAAGGGTAAAATGATACCCGGGGTCAAACAGCAAAGTTACCACAGCATCACAACCAAGTCAGTAACGGGTAAATCCTCCTCTGTTTGCCAAACAAGCATTGATCCGACGTGGCATACTCCTAATGAGACGTCTAAGGTCATTTTGGTCCAGATTGTCCCATTCCTGTTGCAACGCAGCAGCAAGTTCTTGGATATTGGCAGGACGTTGTTGACGTTGACGTAACCTCTGTCCAAGCATGTCCCAGACATGCTCGATGGGGGAGAGGTCGGGACTCAGTGCTGGCCAAGGTAATGTGGTGATGTTCTGTTGTTGGAGGTAACCTGTAACGATCCTGGCCCTGTGACATCTTGCGTTGTCATCCTGGAAGATGAAACGGCGGCCATGACGTCGTGCGAACGGCACAACATGGACTGCCAAGATGTTGTCCCGGTAGTACTGGCCTGTAACACA